CACAAGACAGCCTTTGCCAATTCTGTCCTTACCACAGACAGGAGCCCCTTAATACTGGGCCGAATATGAAAGTCAAACCCCTTCACTTACTTCAGCCTTTCAAGGATTTCTTCAATGCCCACCCAACCACTGAGAATTTTTTTCTGATTTTTATGAATTCTCTTGAGAAACTAAGGGCAATGCTTGTGTTGCATAAGGCTACTGGAGGCATGGTTTGTATAAGAAACTCAATATTCCATAAATAATTCAGTGGACATTTCCTCAAATAATTGTTCCCCTGGCCCCCTAACCAGCATTCACCACTTTTTTTTAAGATTTATTTATTTATTTATTTGAAAGTCAGAGTTACACAAAGAGAAAAGGAGAGGCAGAGAGAGGGTGAGGGGGGGCTTCCAACCACTGGTTCACTCCCCAATTGGCTGCAACACCCGGAGCTGCGTCTATCCAAAGCCAGAAGCCAGGAGCCAGGAGCTTCTTCCAGGTCTCCCACGCGAGTGCAAGGACCCAAGGACCTGGGCCATCCTCCACTGCTTTCCCAGGCCATACTAGAAAGCTGGATCAGAAGCGGAACAGTAGGGACGTGAACTGTGCCCATATTGGATGCCGGCACTGCAGGCAGCAGCTTTACCCGCTACGCCACAGCGATGGCCCCTTACCACTTCTTTAAAAAAAAGTCACTAGGGGACAAGTACTGTGGCTTAGCAGGTAAAGCCTCTGCCTGCAGAGCTAGCATCCTATGTGGGTACCAGTTCGAGTCCCAGTTGTTTCTTTTCCAATCCAGCTCTCTGCTATGGTCTGGGAAATCAGCAGAAGATGGCCCAGTCCTTGGGCCCCTTTACCCTCATGGGAAACCCGAAGGAAGCACCTGGCTCCTGGCTTCAGATCGGCACAGCTCTGGCTGTTGCATCCATTTGGGGAGCGAACCAATGGGTAAAAGACTTTTCTCTCTGTCTCTGTCTCTCTCTCTCTCTCTCTGTAACTTTACCACTCAAATAAATAAATCTTTAAAAATCACTGGAATTTTTTTTTTTTTTGACAGGCAGAGTGGACAGTGAGAGAGAGAGAGAGAGAAACAGAGAGAAAGGTCTTCCTTTTACCGTTGGTTCACCCTCCAATGGCCGCTGCGGCTGGCGCACTGTGGCCGGCACACCGCACTGATCCGAAGCCAGGAGCCAGGTGCTTCTCCTGGTCTCCCATGCAGGTGCAGGGCCCAAGCACTTGGGCCATCCTCCATTTCACTCCCAGGCCACAGCAGAGAGCTGGACTGGAAGAGAGGCAACGGGGACAGAATCTAGTGCCCTGACCGGGACTAGAACCCCATGTGCCAGCGCCGCAAGGCGGAGGATTATCCTATTGAGCCGCGGCGACGGCCTAAAAATCACTGGAATTTTTAAAAAGATGTATTTAATTATTTGATAAGGCAGAGTTACAGAGAGAGAGGTAAAGAGAGAGAGAGAGAGAGAGAGAGATCCTCTATCCCCTAGTTCACTCCCCAGATGGCTGCCAACAGCCTACCCCAAGCTGAAGTCAGGAGCCAGGAGCTTCATCCAGGCCTCCCACATGGGTTCAGGGGCCCAAGGACTGAGGCCAACTTCTGCTGCTTTCCCAGGCCATTAGCAGGGAGTTGGATCTTCCTGGACATGAACCAGCCTACATATGTGATGCAGGCATTACAGGTGGTAGCTTAACCCACCAACCACAATACCGTCCTTGGAATTTTTTAATTAGCTAATTCAGAAGCAGAGAGACAGAGACAGAGAAGGCCCGTCTGTTGGTTCACTCCCCAAATGCCTACAACAGGTGGGGATCAAAAGTCAGGAGCCAGGAACTCAATCCAGGCCTTCCACATGGGTGGCAGGAAGCCAATCGCCCAAGCCGTCCCTGCTGTCTCCCAGACAGCGTGAGTAGGAAGCTGGAGTCAGGAGCTGGCGCTGGGATCAAACCGAGGCACTCTGATAAGGGACAGAGGGGTCCTATCTGATAGGCTTAATGTCTAAGGCAGACAGAAGAGACAGTAAAAGTCCAAGATCTGGAGTCAGCCTGGCTAAGGTTGAGCCCCTGACCTAGCACTTCCAAGCCACTGGCTATGGCTCCATCAGGGCACCTCAGTGTGTGGTGGTAAGGGCAGCAACGCTAACTGGAACTTCTCTGGAGGAGTCACATAGGATCATGAACACAAAACAACTAAAGGCTCAAGAGGAGGTCATTGTTCTTCCCTTTCCTCTTTTGTCCATTTGCATAGCTCAAGTGCAACTGAGTTGAGAGGAAAGAAGTTGAAGAAATTGAAGGACAAGGAACTGAGAAGCAAGCATGGTCTGAGAACCTGTCAGCCAAAGGGACAGTCTCTGTTCTGTGTCCATGGAGGCCGCATCCTCATTAAAAATTTTTTAATTCTAGAAAGTTTCCAAAAGCATAACTAGAATTTGCTGCACAGTGGGCACTTGGCTGAGCCCTGGTAAGCGAAGAGATGTGCAGGCACACCCTGCTGCAGCCTTCTGCCATCTCACAGACCCGCATCTCTGTCCAACACTGCTTTTCAATATATGTATGTATGTATGTATGTATTTGAGAGCTACAGTGAGAGCTCCTATCCAGTGATTCACTCTCTGGGTGCTCACAATGGCCGGGAGGGAGCTGGCTGAACTTGGGGGTTTGGAAGACAATCCATGTCTTCCACAAGGGTGACAGGGACCTGGCTATTGAGCTATCATCACTGCCCAGTGGAAAGAAGCAGGAATCAGAAGCCGGAGCTGGGTATTGAACCCAGGCACTCTGCTGTGAGATGTGGGTAGCTTAAAGGCTGGCTAAATGCCAACTCCTGTCCAGAACTCTTGTTCAAGCTTTGTTTTCCTCACATCTCTTTCATGTATTATATAGTTAGATGTACAACTGTGTGTCTGTCTTGAACATGAACAGACTTTTTTTCTTGTCATCATTCCCTAAAGAGCACATTTCAACAACTCTTTACTTAGCTCTTGCATTGTACTAGGCATAATAAGTCACCCAGAGGTGACTTAAAGTATATATGAGGACGTGGGTAGGTTCCATTCAAATACTACATCATTTTCTTTTTTTTAAGATTTATTTTATTTATGTGAAAGACAGTTACAGAGAGAGGTAGAGACAGAGAGAGAGAGGTCTACCAGCTGCTGGTTCACTCCCTTATGGCCACAATGGCCGAAGCTGTGCTGATCTGAAGCCAGGAGCCAGGAGATTCTTCCAGGTCTCCCACACAGGTGCAGGGGCCCAAGGACTTGGGCCATCTTCAAATGCTATCCCAGGCCATAGCAGAGAGCTGGAACAGAAGAGGAGGGGATGCTGGCGCTTCAGGCCAGGACTTTAAGCTGTTGTGCCACAGCACTGGCCCCAATACTATACCATTTTCTATAAGAAACTTGAGCATCCATGGATTTTGGTATCTGTGGGAGTCCTGAAACCAATCCCCCTTGGATACCAAGGGACAATGTATTAGGCTGAGCAAAGTAGAGCTGCAGCCAGTAGAGCTGCCTCCCTCTTCTCCCATTTCACCTCACATACGAAGCTACCAAAGGCTGTGTAGATGCTGTCTATGCCTCCTAGTGCCTTTCCAATGGCAGAGGCCGGGAGAAGCCGACTTGCAAGGATAAGCAGGCAGTGGGTGGTGCTGCAAGTTGGCTGGCACTGTTGGTCACTGGGGTGGAGAACGTGATGTCCATAAAGGTGACTGGGAAATGCAGATGAGATGATGAGGACTTAGTGGGAGTGCTGTACTGGAAAGCTGCCCTTCTGTGGCCTCTCCCATCACCATGCCTTCTAGGCATTTCTAGAAGACCACCACCTTCCCCCAACATCGCTTTCCTGTGAATACATTGCAAGGTCTTTCGTTCATTTTTACCACCTTTTGCTCTAAGCAACATCACTGCTGTTGTACAGGTGAAGAATTTGAGGCCCAGTGGTTAAGTGACTTGCCCAATGTCACTCTCACAATGGAATCCAAACCAAATACCAACCCCAGTGATCACTGGATGCCAAACAGTGAGCACCACTGATCTGAAACCCTTGGAATTGCAAATACGGAAGCTGGCCTGATGGGAGGGGAAGACAGTCTTGTTTATCCCACCACTAGCTCAGCTCTTCTCTCCACCACCCCTCCTCCACCCTCTTCTAGCTCCCTCCAGAGTATCCACCCACCCACACCATCCCCTACCAGCTGCAGTTCCTATGACCACAAAACACTTCCCACTTCACATCCTGCCACAGCCCTGCAAGTTCAAAAGTCACCACAACAAAAGGAAGCAGTCCAAGGAGCCCGTCCCTCCTCTCTCCCTCCTTGCCTCTTCCGTGCCCTCCCCCAGTCCCCACCCCTGCCTTGTGAACAGGCGAGCCTGCTACAGCCCTGCAGAGTCTATTAGGGAACCTCCTGGCCTGGCTTCTGCTGCCTCTGATGGGCCCAGGAGGTTTGGAGTTGCCAGGCATTTTAAGATCTTTACTTATTTTCATTCCTTACAGAGCCTTCCTGCAAAACTCTCATTCTGGATGGTTAGCCCAGAGAGATTAGTGATATACAATGAGTCTGTCCTCCCCGGATTTGACGAGTGAGAGCCAGCAAGTGCAGGAATTCGGATGTGGATGAGCCTGGACTCTGTTCTAACCTGTCGCTGTTGTGTGTTCCTTTTCTAATTCCAGGATTAGCGGGAGTCAGCCAGTTGGCTAGACCCAAGCCCACTGTGGACCACATGCCCACTAGGGACAGTTTGACTTTATCCTGTCTTCATGCCTGGTCATGTGAGCTGACGCAGGGTTCAGAAAAGAAGCTCACCTCACGTAGAGGCGGCCACACGCCTTCCCCAGGGGCCTGGCAAGGGCTGACTCACACCAGATGTTTCCTGGAGAAGAAAGCTAGCTTGACTGTGTCTGTCCTGTCTTCACTGGCGCAGGGTGGGCTTAGCACCCACTGGGAGCTTGCAATACCCACATGGGAGCCCTTGCCAATGACATCCCTGGCCTGGAGGTGCACTCACCTGGCAGTGGAGACAGCAGAGCCCTCCCACAGAAATGTCATTTTAGGTGCATTATTAGAGGGTGATTCCCAATTTCTTCATTTTGCAAACTTCCCGGGACGCTTGGGATTCAATGCGGCTTTTCCATCGCCTGTGAACTTCCAGGTTTTTGGTGGGACATCGCCGATTCTGCAGAGTGGGTGAATGAATAAACAGAGCAATCACTGACTTCATCACAGACACAGTGATGGGCTATGTCCCCTTTTCTAGGACTTTACAGCGAGCAAGGCACTTTCATACACCATTTCAGTGTAATCTTCCATTTTTAAAAACATCTTTTTGCTGCCCAGCAAAATGAGATTTAGACTTGCCTAAAGTGAACTAGATCAGAAGTAGCATACGAGCTCACACCTTCCCCCAGGTAAGCCTGGTACCACTGCCATTTCCATCCTGTACGTCTATGGCCTGCTGAGCAGTCAGGTCTCAGCTTCAACATAATCTCCTTGCTGCAGGCCTTCCCCTGTCCCACCCAGCTTCTCAGCCCTTGTCCCTGTCACTCTGTTTCTCATTCACCTGGTCTATTTTCTTCACCTCATTTATCACTACCAAGCCCTGACATCATCTTACTTGTTGTCGTTATATTTAAGCCTGTGTACCAGGCTCTGGGCTGAATTTAACCTCTAATATTTAATATATAATAACCACAACAGCTCTATGAAGAGGGACATCACTTTTATCTCTTTTCACCTCTGCAGAAGCTGAAGTGCATGGAGTTTAAACTATGACAGTAGCAGAGTTCTTCCAAGTAGAAGAGTTCAGATATTTGACTGCAATAGTTACCCTTTAAAATCCAGTTGGCCCTCTGTCTCTCTGGGTTCCCAATCCATGTCCTGTGCTACCCTCCTAAAAGTGCTGCCTGTTCTCTCTTCAGGCTAGGGGTACTACTTTCTTTTTAATTATCATTGTTTTCAGAATTAATGTATAACGTTTACAACATCCATTAAGAAAATTGATGACATCCTAGTGTTTACCAATTTCAGGGCAGCTGAGAGTTACAGAGATCAATGGTGCAATTGATGGCAGTAAAGGACTGATTCAAGTCTGTCTTTCCGACTAATGGAGACAAGCAATCGTATGGGCCTTTCCAACAACTGGCTTGCAAACGCATCTTGTGTCCCTCCCAACAGTCACTTCTGAAGATCATTTCCCCGCGAGCACCTGCTGACTGGTCTAGGGGGCAGAGGTGTGTGAAAATGAATGAAAATGAACACTTGAAAGCTGACTGGCCATCACTTATGCAGCAAATAACAGAGTTGACTGTGAATTCCTGCAGACAGTGACAAGAGCATGCATTTCAGTTTCTAGTTCTTGCCAACAGTGTGTCTGGGGCGAGCCTCAGCTCTCTCAGTCTTGCCTTTCTCATCTGTAAATGCAGGGAAATGAAACCTATTTACAGATGTGTGATAAGGAGTAAATGACACAATTCACATAAACGACCCGATGTGCACTTGGCACGAGGTGGACTTTGGTCTCCTCCCACCACTTTTGTTCACCATGATTTCCTAGTCCCTGGAGCACCTGCTATTACAAAATAAAGAACAAGATGGGTAATGCAGGTGCCATTACACTGGAACGCAAACATTCAAATGGATGCTGCCCCCAGGAAGTTGCCTACTTTGTCTGACTCCACTGAGTTTATTCAAAACATTTTTACAGGGGCCGGCATTGTGGTGTAGCAGGTAAAGCTGCCACCTGTGGTGCTGGCATCCCATATGGGCACCAGTTTGAGTCCCAGCTGCTCGACTTTGGATCCAGCTCCCTGCTAATGTGCCTGGGAAAGCAGCAGAAGATGGCCCAAGTGCTTGGGCACCTGCACGCCATGTAGGAGACCCAGAAGAAGCTCCTGGCTTCTGACTTTGGCCTGGCCCAGCCCTGGCTGTTGCTGCCATTTGGGGAATGAATCAGCAGATCAAAGTTTTCTGTCTCTCTGTCTCTCTCCAGCCCCAACCCCGTTCCTCTGCCTTTCAAATAAAATAAATAAATCTTTTTAAAAAATTGTTGGAATGTTTCTCCTAGCAGTCAGACCCCTCAGCAGATGACATTGACAGAAAGCAAATCAACGATTTGTCCCTCGTCCATCCCAGACTCTCACTCATCCTGAACAAGTGAATGAACAAGTGATTATTTTCAAAATGCACAAGCAGATAAGAGCCAGCCACGACCCTAGCACCGCCTTACAGGGTGCCCCGCAGCTCGGGATCAAGTGTCGCTGGGCTTTGCGGAGTGTTCCAGACGTGCTCAGAGACACTCTCGTGGGCACCTCCACAGGAGTCGCTCTCTGAATGGCTCCAAGGAACAGCGTGCATCAGTCGCAGGAGGCAACGGATGGCAACATTCCTGAACACAGAGGGGACAGAAATAGAAATACAAATATCTGGGGCACTCTTTTCTCTAGAGAAAGGTTTGGAAACATTAGTTTTAATGAGGAAGGGGGTGGTGTGTAGCCGGGCTCATGTGGGAGGGAGGCAAACCCATTTCAGGGAAAAGCACTTCCCCAGAGACGGTCTCAAGAGGCCCTATTTACAGAAAAACTGGCTTTGGCTGTCAGCATCCCGCAGAAGAACCACTTCACTTCGATTCCACAGGCCGACCTTGCTGACGCTTCTGAGCAGGGGTCACCAGCGGAGCCTGAGCACTTACGGGATGCCCATGTGGTGATGTAAGGAGCCCGGTCCAAGAACCAGAAGCTGAGCGCTGTGAGCACATTGAGGTCTGTAGGCTGCTGCCGCCTAGGCGGGACTCTCTCACAGGGACCTCAGCTGTGCTGCTGGGTTCAGCTGGGGTGGGGCTGGCCCTGGCCTGTGGCTGTAGACCTGTACGCCATCCCTGCTTAAGCCTGGCATCTCTTCCTGCAAATGCATCACCATTTTTGGAGAGATATCTGGAGTCTTTTGTCACGTAAAAGCCTTAACTGCAGTTTATTAATTAAAAAAAAAAAACTAAGTCTATTCAAACCCACAAAGTCAAAGGAATAATACAATGAATACCCATACATCCCCCCACTTTAACCCACCAACGGGCAGGTGTTTGCCATACTTACTTCGTCTTTCTATATTTACACACTCATCCCTTTAGCTAACCCATCTCGGAATCACTTTCCCATATCTTGACATTTCAGCTTTATAAATATCAACAGCCTTCATCTCCCATGGGCAAGAATTTTCTCTTACAGAATCATGATACCATTATTAAGTCTAAGACAATCAACAAGAACACAATCACAGTATCTGAATCTGTGTTCAAATTTGCCAACTGTCCCCAAAATGCCTTTTAGAAGGGCAAGCATGTGGTGTAGCAGTTACATTGTGTCTTGGGACACCCGCATCTCATAGCAGAGTACCAATTCCAGTTTCCTGCTACTGTGCACCTTGGGAGGTAGTCAAGTACTTGACTCTGAATTAAGTCCCAGGCGCCTAGCTTCAGCCTGGCCCAGACTTGGTTATTGGAAGTCTTTAGAAGTGAACAAGTGGATGAAAAAATCTGTGTGTGTGTATGTGTGTCTGTTTGTGTGTCTTTCCATGTCTTTCAAATAAAATGAAAAGAAACAATAGATACAATTTTTAAAAGAGAATTGTTTACTTATTTGAATGTCAGAGTTACAGAAAAAGAGCCAGGAGCCAGGAGCTTCTTCCAGTTCTCCCACGTTAGGGGGCCAAGCACTTGGGCCATCCTCTGCTGCTTTCCCAGGCCATTAGCAGGGAGCTGGATCAGAAGTGGAGCAGCTGACTCACGAACCAGCACCCATATGGGATGTCAGCGTCACAAGCTGCAGCTTCACCTGCTACACCGGAACGCCAGTCCATGAATAAACCATAAAAAATCCTTTACAGCTGATTTTTTAAAATTCAAGATCCAGTCAAAGCTTAAGGCCTGAATTTGGCTGTTCTTTCTAGTTTTCCCCACTGTCCAGTGCTTGACCTTCTCCTTCTGACTTTCAAGATACTGAGCTTTTTGCAGAGCCTGGGTTAATCGCCCTGTGGAATGCCCCATGAGCTGGGTGAAGGGCTCCTTCCTCGGGCTTAGCTCCAGGCCACACTTCCTTTCCGATGAGAGCACCACACAGGCTGGCACGGGAACCTCCTCCGCGTCATGCCTCGGGAGTCACGTGCCAGGCGGCCCGTGACTGCCAAAACCAAGCTCGAGCTCCTGGTGCAGGTGACGGCCAGTGGCTCTCTGCATCATAAAGGCATACTCTTCCTTCCATCGTCCCTGTGGGGTGATCCTTTAGAACAACGTGAATATCCTATTATCCCCCATCCACCCTTTCACCCAGTGGCTCTGACATCTATTAGGGATTCTTAGTGGATCTGCCATTACTTTGAAGGCTACAAAGTGGGGATTTTTCCAATCCTATGGTTACCATTTTTTCCAATTCCAATGTTACCATTGTTGCTATGCTTGCTTGGTGGCACTCCTTTGTAAAGAAGTCCTTTCTGTGCCCTCCTCCTTTTCCCTCTCTCTAACTTTTATATGTAGATTTATGGATTTTTTAAATTTAACCTCTTACAATCCAATAATATCATTTGGCAGTGGGGGATAGTGGGGTGCTTTTCACATTGGATTTGGCTGTGGGAACTCCAGTTGGCTCCAGTGTCTTGATAGAAGCCTATTAATCAGGGGTACAATGCCCTACTTTCTATCACAATCAGACATTTCAGACCAAGCTTGTGCTCGCCCTGCTGCTCACCTGCAATCAGCCTCTCTCCACAGAGTCCTGGTTCCTTTGGGTAGAAATAAAAATCCGAGAGTTCGGTATTGTGGCATAGCAGGCTAAGCTGTCACCTGTGCCACCAGCATCCCATATGGGCACCAGTCCAGGTCCTGGCTGCTCCATTTCTGATCCAGCTCCCTGCTAATGGCCTGGGAAAGACATCGGAGAATGACCCAAGTGCTTGGCCCCCTACACCCACGTGGGAGACCTGGAAGAAGCTCCTGGCTCCTGGCTATGCCTGGCCCAACCCTGACCATTGTTGTAACCATCTGGAGGAGTAACCCAGCAGATGGAAGATATTTCTGTCTCTCCCTTTCTGTCTGTAATTCTGACTTTCAAGTAAATAAATAAATATATTTTTAAAAGAAGAACAAAAAATCTAGGTGCTAGGGACTGGCTTTTGACATAATGATAAAATACCACTTGGGAGGCCTTCATGCCGTATCGAAGAACTTGGCTCCACTCCCAATCCCAGCTTCCTGCTAATGCACACCCTAGGGGACAAGAGCTGATAGCTCAAGTAGTTGGAACTCTGCCTGGCTTCAGTCAGGACCAGCCCTGGCTGTTAGGGCATTTGGGCATTTAGGGAGTGAAGCAGTAGACAGAAGAATCTGTCTTCGTCTTTCAAATAAAAATAAATTAATTAATAAATAGTTAAATCTAAATGGTAGCTATGCTGTCAATTGCAATTTATAAAAGCAACTTTAAACCAATAAACATCTCAGCCTCTGCTTCCCAAGCCTAGGGTTACCGAGTCCTGAGGGTCACTGGCAATATAGCATGACTGTAGGTTTACGCTTCTTTTTAAAATAATAGGTATTTTTCATGAACTTTTGGAAGACTCCTTGCATGCAAAGATTTCAAAAATTTTCTACCAAAATAAACTTATTATTGAATCCACGTTCCACGAGCTTTGTGAAGTGCCATCATATTTCAGATGCCTTTCGGGGGCTGAGGGAATGAACCTAGCTGCACTTGGCCTCACCCAAGAAATCTGTCCACATTGCTTTAAGGAATTTGCCCTACCCTCCTAAGAGCAGCAAGTCATAAGACATTTTTGGATCCAGCCCAAGAAAGAGAAGAACATTATTAGTATGGCTTTGTTTTCTGTAAGCCTAAGTTTAAGCACTTGATTTACTCCCTGCTGTCAGTAAGAGAGACAATTTTCCTGAGCCTCTGTCTTTGCTTTTCTTTGTATTGTTATTGTTGTTCCAAAGGGGGAAAAATGCATAGAAAGTAACTCCCTCATATTGTTTTATTTTCTTAAGAGGATAACAACTAAACAAGGTGTTATGCCTGGAAGAGCTTAAGACTTGTGAAGAGCTGTGTCAACACTGCCACTGAACAGGAACAAGAGGGTGACATTTTAGGTGGGCAGAAATGGCAAAGGTCACTGAAGTCCACAAGCAGGCTCGGTCCCCGCCTCTTTAATTAAAGTCTCCAGCTAAGGGGCTGATGGGGACTTGCATTTCCTCTCCTCCTTGCTTCCCCTTTGAGAAGCTGCTAATTAGTGAGCAGAGAACAGGCCATGAGGAACCTTCTAGGAGTGGTGTGGAGGCTTTGCCCATGCACTCCGTGGACACCCAGCCCAAGAGCACCCACACGTAGCCTGGTGGTGGTGGGGCAATGACTAATGCAGAAGTCAGAGCTGAGAAGCTGAAAGAACAAAGTCATTGTCATACTTCCCACCGCACACTGGAGATTTGCTAAAATATCAGCTCTCTTCCTGGTTCAATCCAGCCTGTGCCAGAAGGGTCCTTTTCTCTTTGTACACCCACCACCACAAGCTTCTGGTCAGCAACGCCCCATTTCCGGTGCCTGCCCCTTCAGTCTGCCATGGACTATGTTTCAGGAGAGGCACTCCGGGGTTACAGCTTTCTGTACATCAGCGATGTGAGCTGGGGATGAAGTCTGTCTAACCACCAAGGAAATGAGGGCGGTAGAGGAAACGCTCTGACCCGGACTCTGAGTCAATCCGGCCAGGGTGGGGTCGTGGGGTGGGAGACCAAGTTCCTTGGCCTCAGTCTGAAGACAAAGGAAGAGACGAGTGCAATTGCTCTCATGTGATGGAGGTGACACTCAACTGAAATGCCATTCGAGCACCCACTACGCACAAGGCACGTAGAGACTCATGGAACACATGCCGTCCTGGAGATGAGAATTTAAATAAATGAAATGTCTGTCTGTCTCTCTCTCTCTCTCTTTCTGCCCCCCTCATGCTCTACCCTTCAAATAAATTTAAAAAAAAAGATTAACAGCAAAGATCCATATTTGTCAATTTCCCCCTTTTAAAAAATATATATAAGGAAGAAACAAAAGTAGACATTCACAGAGAAGATGATGGGAAGACAAGGCAGAAAGACACAGAAGATACTACCTTGAAGACTAATGATGCACCCACAAGCCAAGGACTGCCAGCAGTCAGAGGCTGGCAGAGGTGAGGAGGGGATTTGCCCTTAGAGCCTCACGAACATCTTGACTTCAGCCCGGTGGTACAGCTCTCTGGCTCTGGCCTCCAGAGCACGCCCATTTGTTATGGCAGCTGCAGGAATGAATGCAATCACACTCTTCCAGCAACCAAGCATCTCTTGCCCAGGAATCTTTTGGACAAAGGAAGAGGAGAGGAGAAGAGTTTTATTTTTCTGCTCTTACTTCTCAGGGTGAGTTGTTGGCAAACACTAGTGGTCTCCACTCCAGAGAGCCATGCCTGTAGAAGAATGAGTCCTGGACTCCACAGCTGCCCACTCAGAGCACAAATTTTCAAGAAAACCTACATCATCACACTCTGCAGGTGCAGGCACATGCCCAGGCCCCCACAAGCTGAGAATTTATAGTCCACTTAGCGCTATCTCCTTGAATGAAAGTATTTAGGGGAACTCACAAGATAGGTTAAAAAAAAAAAGCTATGACAAGGGGCAGGCATTTGGCACAGCAGAGAAGATGCTACTTGGGACGCCTGCATTCCACATTCAGAGTGCCTTGTGAATCCCAGCTACTCGGCTTCCTATCCAGTTTCCTGCTCAAGTGTCCCGCTAGGAGGCAGCAGGTGATGGCTCAAGTACTCAGGTCCCTCCCATCCACATGTGAGACCTGCAGTGAGTTCCAGAATCCAGGCTATTGTCTTCAGCTGCATTGTGGGCACTTGGTGAGTGAACCAGCGGATGGAAGATTTCTCTCTCTCTTTCTCTATCTGCCAGTCAAATAAAATGAAGATAAATAAAAAAAAAATTTACAAAGATATAACAATATTGTATAATCCTTGCTTTCAAGGAATTAAGAATTAACCTGGCTGGGACAGATATTAACCATTAATTTTACTAAGTGGAAGAAAATTGATTAAGATATTGGCATTGATCTCTTCTACTTGAGGTGATTGTTTGTTCTTCCTTTTTGAGCATTAATTTTCTCACAAAACAGCTTAGTGCATTGCTTCTATAATTAAAAAAAAAAAACATTGAAAGAGAGCATGAACAAAGGAATGCAGAATAATAGGCAGCATATTGCAAGTTATCCATGCGGGGTTAGGGTTTTGAAAGTGCCTGAGAGTTCTCACTGACGGGTTCAGGGAAGACTTCCCAGAAGCCTGCATTTGGACCTGGAAGAATGAGCATGGTGGATTTGCCATTGGATCTAAGTGGTTTTGGACCCCTGGCCTGATCATCAAGTGGTGACACATTCCTCAGTGCAACAGGCAAAGTTGGGTGGACCTCGGCCAGAGAAATGTGACGTGAAGAAATCTGGTTCTGCAACAACTCAGATTCTACAGCATGGCTTCTACATCAGCGTCTCCTTCACCATTCCCCAAACCTCCACATTTCGGCCATTTAGGTCTTCAGAGACCATTTGGTCTCCCAAATGTCTGGCCTCTGCACATGCTGTTTCCTCTGCCTGGGACAGCTTTCCTTTCTTTCCCTCTCTACCCAATCTTGCCTCCTCCCTATGACTCCATTTGTCATCTAATCAGTTTCTCTCATCTGCCAGTGTCCAGCTGAGACATCATCTTCCCTGGGGAAGCTTTCCCAGTCATCTTCCCACCATTCTTCCCCAGAAGCAATGTGGGCCAACCACGATGTCTCTCAGACATCCTGTACCATCACAGTCTGGTCATTCCTGTCTCACACCAGACTCAGTACTCCTCGAAGCAAACTCGTATCTTGCAGCCCAATACCCAGATAGAGTCAGTACCCAATTTTTGTGGAAGAGAAGTAGGTGAGAAGGAAGAAGAATTGTATTTGTCTTTTACTCATTAGTCACCGGGAGGGCTTGATGAGATTCGTAGATGATTTCAATACTGCAACCCCTAATACTCAACATTTCTTCACAGGTTGCTTGAGGCAACCCAGTGGTTTGTATATCTAAACACATTATCTTGTTGAGATGAGTTGCCTATTAAATTATTTTCATTGATATTAATGTATTTAAGTTAATTATAATGTGCCCTAAACTTACATGTGGCTACCTTACCTTTCCAGGCCAGTTCTACCACTTCACAGCTATGTGGCCATGGGCAGTTGACATAACCTCTCTGAACTTCGGTAGGTTTATCTATCAAGCTCATATAGGTACTATTCTGACAGTGATGCTGATGACATGAAATCATACCTGGAAGTCCTAGCATATAACAGCTATGCCTCACCTTTGTTCTTTTTCCTCCAAGGATCATCACGCACAGACTGTTGGAGGGAAGGGAACCAGAGAAGGAATATTAAAATTGGCAGGAGTGGGCGAGGACTCTTTAATCACGGAGCACTCACCGGCACACTATGCTTTATTTTGTACTTACTCATTTAATTCTCAAAAGAAACTCTTCCAGATTAGAGCCCAAGACATTGTATCTGTAACTCCTAAATTTTTTATTTATTTGAGAAAGGACAAGACAGAGAGAGACAGAGAAACAGAGAGTGCTCCCATCCTCTGGTTCATGTCCCGAATGTGTGCCTTGCCCAGGCCTAAAGCTGTGAGCTGGGAGCTCAACGCAGGCCTCTCACATAAGTGGCAGGATCCATCACCACTTGATCCATCACCACTGCTTCCCAGCATCTGCATTGGCAGGAAGCTGGAGTCAGAAGCCAGGAATGGAACCCAGGTACTCAAATGTGGGAGGCAGGCGCCTTAACCACCAGCCAACACCCTCTCCTGTCTCACTTCCTAACTGCATCTGTTCAGCAGTGTTCTCCCTGCTTTGCCCCTCCTTTGACTCTCGGGTCCAGAGAGGAGAGAAGCCCTAAGCACTTGCAGATTTTCCATGATGTGTACCTTCCCACCACGACCGACTTCAAACCACTAGTGGTTCAACAACCAGCTCTGGATAGTCCTGAAGATTTCACCACAGGCTTCTCCCACCACTTGAGCTGGCTCTGCCACATCAATTGCCTGTCTTAATTCTCCTATCCCTCACTGTCTCTCAATGTTACTGGCCTTTTGTTCTTTTGGACATTACCATCTTAGATCTTTCGCAGTGTCAGTGCCCTCCACCTAAAATTCCTTTCTAAGAGTTGTCAGTTGGCTGCATGTTGGGGTCTTAAGCCTGAGGCTGACCCCTGACCAGCCAGGGGACAGTACAAGCACTCCCCGACAAGGCGAACGGGAGAGGTAAGGTCTATGGGTCAAGTACACCACAGCAAGCACGCGTGAGCTCTGTCGAAGGAGGAACCACTTCACTGAGGAAGTGTGCAGGCTTATAAAGCTTATGAAGGACATGCGCAGTAGGGGAGCCAATCAGTGAAAAGGTCACGCAGGCACGGGTGGACCACGCACAGGGGCACCTTGAGCAAGTATAGGGATCATGCACTGTCCACGTGTCCGGAACTAAAGCAGACCTATCCCTGCAGGTGGTCCGATCTCACATGGCTTAACCACAGCGGCTGCCGCAAAGACACTCCCCCAAACATCCACCAGGCGCCATGTTGTTAGGGACTATTTTAGGCAATGCCCAATAGCTACATTCTTCTTAGCTCCTTCAGACCCTGGCCCTGATGAAACCTCCACACAGGTGATCTTTCTCTCCACTTTAGTTAAAGTAACTCCCCGCCCTGCACAGTCCCTCCCTAGCGCATCACAATGTTTACATTCTTCATATCCCTTACCATACAGAATATATATTTATTAAAAAATTACTCTTGGGAATGTTTCTCTCCACCATAATGTAGGCTCCTTGAGAACAGGGATTTTTCTTGTTTCTTTCCTTGTTCTCTGCACATAATAGATCCCCACTAAATAGTTGTTGAGTGAATTTGCTCAAGGTTATGTAGCTAATAATGCCGCAGGCAGAAATCAAACATAGGAGCCTATACTCTTGAACTCTCTATGGTAACTGAATCCCCAAGTGGCTTTCGGAATCATCCAGAATACAGAATAATGATGCATCACACACTACAATGCAGAGATCTCTTGCATGCTGCTGGTGGGAATAGAAGTTGACGTGACTGCTCTGGGAAATGTTTATGCATTGCTTTCTCAATTGAAGGTGATCCAGCCATTCTACTGTGAGGGACAAGCCCAAGAGTAATTCTTGCACATGTACAGCTGGAAATATGAGTGTTTACCACAGCATTGTCAAAAATGCAAAAACCTTGGAAATATTCCAGCCATGCATAAACAGTTGAATATTGTATAGCAAACAAACCAATGAACTATCAATATTCAACATTATGGATATTTCTTAGCCATAAACTGTTAAGCAAAATTAATTAATTAATTCCAGGAATACAAACAGCATTGTACACATTTATTATATTAAAAAATCTAAAACTGCTAGGCACTTTTTAGAACTCCTTATAGGCTCAATAAATCCATGGAAAGAAAAACCAATGAAATGATGAGCACATGGTACAGAATGAAGGCACTTGTGGGGCCAGTGCTGTGGTTCAGCAGGTTAAAGCCCTGGGCTGAAGTGCCGGCATCCCACCTGGGCACTGGTTCTAGTCCTGGCTGCTCCTCTTCCAATCCAGCTCTCTGCTACAGCCTGGGAAAGCAGTAGAAGATGGCCCAAATCCTTGAGCCCATGAACCCGTGTGGGAGACCTGGAGGAAGCTCCTGTCTCCTGGCTTCAGCCTGGCCCAGCCCCAACTATTATGGTTATTTTGAGGGGTGAACCAGCAGATGGAAGATTATTTCTCTCTCCTCTCTCTCTCTCTCTCTCTCTCTCTCTGTGTGTGTGTAACTCTGCCTTTCAAATAAATCTTAAAAGTAATAAGTGAATGAAAATGAATAAATTAAATAATTCAATAATTGAAAATAAAGCATATAGTTAATTTAATTTTGTGGTCCCAAAGTCTAATTAAGTAAAAACACTGCAAAATATCATAAGAATAAGAAGGTCAGAGGTGTGGAGAGTAAAACAACAACAACAATGTTATTTTAAGTTCTCAGCAAACTTGTGGCACCTTGCTTGATACTTCCATATTCAAGATTCATTTAATTATTACAAAACCCCCCTGAGGCAAGTATTTATGTTACCACTATAAAGGCGAGGAAATGAACATGATTTTTTTTGCTTACTTTTCCAAACCAGTATTCCATACCTTAGAGACTTGTCACAAAGGATGGCAAATCATTTTCTTTTTTTTTTTTTTTTTTTAAGATTCATTTATTTAGTTGATAGAGTGACACAGAGAGACAGGGGTAGACACAGAGAGAGGTCTTCCATCTGCTGGTTCATGCCCCAGATGGCCACAAGGCTGGAGCTGGGCCAGGCTTAAGCCAGAAGCCTGGAACTCCTTTCTGGTCTCTCACTGGGTGGCAGGGGCCCAGGAACTTGGACCATCAACTGCTGCTTTCCAGGCATGTTAGCAGGGAGCTGGACTGGAAGTGGAGCAGCCAGGACTCAAATTAGGGCTCGGATATGGGATGCTGGCATCACAGATGCTGTGCCACAAACTTGTCCCCAGGCAAGCACTTTCTAGGATGGATAGGTGCAGGCTGTGGGTGGGGGGAAGAAGTAACTAGCATTCAATTTTTCCATTTCCTGGCAGATGGTGGAAGAAATGTCACCAACCAGAGAATATCTTACCTACAGCTTGGCATAAAGGACATAAAGGCATAAAGGACCTCAGCTTGCATTTTCATAGGCCATAGGTTACTTATGTTTACATCATTATATATATATATATATATATATATATATATATATATATATGCATGAATTGGAAAAGGTATCTAGCAATACTATGCAGAGTCCTGCAGAGGTTCATTAAAATGCACTAAAAATTTAAAATACTTACATTTAAATATATAATATATATTATATATTCAGAAATGGATCGTGCAACCCCTAGGATCACTCAAAATTTTCAAACAGCGAAGATTCTTTTTGACAGTGTTTTGGTCGGTGACTATTGCTTCCAGTCATAAATCACAGAGTTTGTTTGCTTTTGCCTCATACCTAGCTTTTTATAGCTACTCAAGTTTATTCCATTTCTTAGAAGTAAAATTTACCCTTATGGTGCCTGGATGCTTCCTTTTACATGCAAAAAGGAAGTTGTATGAGAAGAGGAAAGAATTATTTTTGGCATACACTGCTAATTTTACTGGCTTGCGCCATTGTTATGTGTCAGAACAGGGCAAGAGACCCCGAGACAGTGCTATTCAGATGAGGCTCTTGCAAGGAGAAAACACAGACAATGCAAGATATCCTAAGACGATTCCAAAACAGATGTTTCCAGATTTTTATCCAGAGATGAGCAAAAAAGGAATAAAAAATTGTCCTACAGCCTCCTACCTCACTCCTTCCCTTTGCAAGCGAAGGAAAGAACTTAATTTTTCAGTATGAGGGGAAACTATAAGCTTCCTATTAGCTTAAAGTGATGCTCCAAACATTTCCCAGCCTCAGCCCTCCCTTCTGCATAACTCAGCTTCACAATTAAACAAGTATGCACCGGCGACTACACACTGTCTATGAGCCCAGCATTGGCCCAAGCCCTAGGGACAAATTTAAGACTGAAATGATCACCTGTCATCAGGTCCTCAGAGCCAGTCTAACAGGACTCTGGGATGGGGTAGAGCTGACACCCCCTTTAAAGGCCACTTCACACCGATGCTCTGTCTATGTGGACCCTTCTCTCCGCCCCCCAGCCTACCTCTCAGCTACCTCTCCCTCTGCCAACCTCTTCCTCCACTAGACAACCCCATTCCTTGTCCCTTTACTTTCTGTTTATTAAATTACAGTCTATCAAATTAAACTGGGCTCTCATGATCATCTCGTTCTGTGGTTTTCAATTTTTTCCCCCACAAAACTAGATTTGCTGTTGTTTGCTTTATTTGAAAGGCAGGGAGTCAGAGAAAGAGGTAGATAGAAAAAGAGAACTCTCACACACTGGTTCTTGCCTCAGATGGCTGAGGCTGAGCCATGCCAAAGCCAGGAGCCAGGAACTCAGTCCAGGTCTCCTATGTGGGGGGCAGGAGCTCAGTTGCATGGGCCATCACCTACTGTCTCCCAGGGTCTGCATTAGCAGGGAGCTGGAGCCAGATCTCGAACCCAGGCACTCTGATATGGGAAAGGAATGCCTTAACCCCTAAGCTAACTGCCCACGCCCTAATACACATTTTGAACATTCTCCAAATCCTTGCCCACAGAAAGCCTTACCCAGAACACCCAAGCTGTAAGGTGGGGAAGCTGCACTTGCTCTGAAAGAAAAGAGGTGTCAAGCTGTACCTCACAACCCTCTGGCAGGGAACCCCAACTCTCACCCCCAAAGAGCTCCTGAGAGTCCTCCAACAAAGTCCTAGGGGTCCCCAGCCCAGGAGAAGCCCTCCCTTGGAAGGTGAAGAAGCTGAGACCCACCAAGGGGCAGTACACGGTTTCCAAATATGGCAAAGAAAGAATGCGGCTAGAAGTGCGGGGCTGAAAGTGACTTCATTCACCAAGGCAACCCCCAGCCCTGGGAGCAGAGGCGTCCTGCAGGCTTGACATCCCGATCACGCCATCACTTCACCTTTCCTCCAGGACAGAGAGAAGGGAAGGGAAAAGACACAGGGCACGCATCGACTGGGCCCACGCTGGCATCCCTGTGGCCATTTCAGAAGGGCTGCCATACCATGCAAGTGGCCAGAGCCTGCAGGCTGGAGCCACGCAGGGCTCACACAAACACAAAGAGCTTTGTGTTCCAGGGTGGATTCTGACATGACTGGGCATGGGGACGTGACAGCTTGTCTTTCCTTCTGAAGGTGCAGCTTAATGTTAATGTGGTCAGCTCTGTTACTAGGCAAGGCCCTCCTCCCGCCTGCCCCAGCCCCACTGTGCTATAAGATACACTGTCCTATGCAGCCATTCCTCTTCTCTCTTTGCAAGGCAACATTACGCACCTTTACAAAACATCCCCTAGCCTTTCAAAGCCCATACGACTAAAGCCCAATGCATCTTAATTGCCAGCCCCTCGACCTGGCGCAGAGCAAATGGCAGCCATCCCAAAGACAACAAAGGTTGGCACGGAGCTAAAAGAGGGCGAGGAAGCCAAGCTAGGATTTCTGTAAAAGAGCCCCAGACAAAACAGTGTGCATGGAAGATGCCTGCTTTTCCAAGCGCTACTTCCAGGCTGCCTACAACTATTTTTATATTCATCATTTCCTGTACCTCCCAGTTTGCCCGCGGCAAGAAGAAAGACAATTAATTCAATCTCCTGGAGAAATAGAGATCCAGCAATTTGGCATTATGGGGCATAGGAGAAGTCAAAATAGTGTCTGCAATGAGTTGTCTTAAAGGTTGACAACCTCTTTTTCGCTATAAAAATGGTGTTTGGCCAGATGTTTAAAGTTCAGATCCTGGCTTGGACACTTACTACCCGTGAGCTCTTGGGTAAGATACTTGGCCTCTGTCTGCTTCAACATCTTCCTTTGTGAAGTGGCTGATGATAGGGTAGCACCTGCTTCATAGCCTTCCCAAAGAATTCAATGAGTTATGTGTGTATGAAGCTGAGAACAGCACCAGCATACAATAAGTGCTCAATAAATTTGAGTTATTAGTTGTGTAGTGCTTCCACAGGCATTATTTTCTGTTGACCGGGATCCAGGTCACTTGACTCTCAGCCTTGTATTCAGAAAAAGAGTCGGAATACTGGGTGAGGTCCAACATGCTTTGCTAATCACATCCCGAACAGTGTGTCTAGGAGTGACGGTTTTCCCAGTCCGGTCCTGCCTCTTTGCTCTAAACTCTGGAAAAGCATTCTGCAAGGTCTCCAGGACAGTCCCCTGCCCCCACAGCCAGCCCCCAGGCGGCAAGACACTCCCAGCCAGGAAGTATGAACTTTCCCTCGTGCTTTACGTAGTAGGAGGCAGACTCATGCACACCATTGCTTAAGCTTCAGCTGGATTATCTCCCCCTTCTAAAGCTCCTGGAAATTTTGTAGAAAGCCAAATCCGGAAGCTTGGGAAAGTAAGCAGTATCATTTCCCCTGGGAAAACCTTGAGATACCTTGTAAAGTGATACCAAAAAAGGACTCCAGGAGTGCTGGTCACCTCACCGGCTCTCCCCCACATCCAGGCAGGGAATGGGCGGGGCTGACATTTCTGGAGAACCCCGTGTGTGCAAGCCCAGGTCACCACAATCCCTACAGATGAGGAAATTCTGTTGTCGAGGGGACAGGTGGATTGGCCAAGGCAACCACAGTGGTCAACAGCTGTAGCCCCGCACAGTGGTCAAAACTCCCCATCTCCGTCATCTTCCTCCTCTCTGAGCTGCATTTTCTCATCTACAGAACAGGGATAATGAAAGTACACAACCCACAGGGTCACTAAAAATTCAATCGGTTCTTGCATTTAGTATGTTTTGTACAATGATTGGCATATACAAGGGCACGGGAAATATTAGGTTTTATTATTACGCTATTGTTACAAAAAAAAAAAAAAAACACAAAAAATAACAAGAGGATGACCTAGAGTGGACTCTGTCTCTTTCACTGTGTCAGATGGAGCCCTGGCCCTGACAGAGGACAATGACTGTCAAAATGACAGGGCTTTAACGTCCTCCAGCCACGCCGGGCATCAGTACGGAGAGGACTGGCCACCTTCTTCCAGGTGGAACTAGTTTTGCCCACCCTAGATGCAATTCACCTGTGGTTTCTTTGACTCCTTTTCTTGACGGGGCCCTCATTCCCTAGCGAAGACCAGCGCATTCCAAAGAACATCTCTTAGGATTAGAGTGCCCTCCCACTCCTTCCTCCTCCTTCTTCCTCGGGGTCCTGCATTTCCCCTTAAGTCACTAGGCAGTCACGGGCCACAGCCGTGGACAGCCAAGTGCGTCTGCAGTGCAACCCCTTGGCCGGCTGAGGGGAACTCGCCCTCCCACGACCCCAACAACCCAGCAGGTTTTTCAGGATCTTTCGGAAGCAAAACCTTGTATTGGGGCTTTTTGGACCAAGAATGCCATCACCAGTTCTCCCGATTTCCAGGGTTAATCCCATCTAGAACTACATACCCTTGAAATGGGTTGATGTGGAGTCTTGGGGCCCGGCTGAGAGCCGGGGAGCCAGGGGTGGCTCTCGGGAGCCTCCACGCACCGGGGCCGGCGCCGGTCGGGATCCCCCGCCCAGAAGCTGCGCGACGCAGCCGGCGGCGGGAGGGAGCCACCTCCGGCCGCGCTGCCGCTTTAAGAGAGGGGCGGGGCCCGGCACAGCAAGCCAGGGCCAGCCCACAAGGCTCCTATTCCTTTTTGATCCATTCAAAAATTACTCATTGCAAATTCCCGGACTGCTAGGAGCGGAGAAGGAAGGGGGCGGAGGAGAGAGGGCCGCTGCAGGCATTGCGTCGGGGGCGCCCGGGGGGCCCGGGGCGCTGACGGCCGGTCCCACAGAGGCTGCTCACTGGCGCCGGGCTCCGGTGGCCTCACCAGGAAGCGTCAGTCTCGACCCCGGGGAGGCTCGGAGCGCCGCCCCCGCCGCCGCCGCCGCCGCCGCCGGGCTCCGGGTACCCGAGTCCCCTCCCGGGCCCCCGGCTCCAGCCCGCGCCCTCCGCTTTCCCGGATCGTCCGGCCCGGCGCCTTCCAGCGATGGCCGGCCGCTGAGTCCTGGCTCGGCACGGCCACCTCAGCGCGCTCGGCATGGCTGCGAGAGAGGAGCTGTACAGCAAAGTCACCCCGCGGAGGAACCGCCAGCAGCGCCCCGGCACCATCAAGCACGGGTCGGCGCTGGACGTGCTACTCTCCATGGGGTTCCCCCGAGCGCGCGCGTAAGTGACCGCCCCTCGCCCCTCCCGCCCGCGGCTTCGCTCCGGCTCGCCTGGCCGCCGGGTGCCCGGTGCCGGCTGCCCGCGACCTGCTGGGCGCAGGATGGACGCGCTGCACCCCTCCCCCCGCCTGGGACCCCGCTACTTCCTGGCCGCAGGGTGGGCGCGGCGCCGCGCGGGCTTGCTGGGTTGGGGACTTGAACTGGGAGCCTAAAGCTGGGAAGCTGAGGGCCGCGGGTTCGAGTCCCCGGGCGCCGGATCCCCGCGGAGGGCGCTAGGAGGCTCCCTGTGGCGCACCTCGAGGTCTCCTGCGCCGAGCCCCGGGAGGCGGGGCCCCACGGGCGACTTGGGCTGACTTGGGATGCGCCGGTGGCCAGGAAAGGGCGAGGCACTGCGGGGCAGGGAGGCCGGCGCCCCCACCGCCGCCCGCTTCCAGCTGCGAGGTCGCTAGGCGGCTCGGTGTAGCTCCCGAAGAGGCGGAGCGGGAGCGTGGGTGTTGCCGCGTGCTCAGTGCTGGGGAGGACCCGGCGTGTCCTCAGTAGTGACTGCAGTGCCGAAATCTGTGGGTGCCTGCGAGTGAGCAGAGACAGCGGCCCTCCTCCGCCCTTCTCGCTCCGGGAGGGTGGGATGGGGAAGGGCGGCGAGAGCGCGCAGGTGGCCGCCTCCGCAGCCTGCCGAGAGAGGCCTGCTTGCCAGATCTGGCAGCAGCAGCAGCAGCAGGGGTCTTCCTAGGCCGGTCAGCGGAAGCCTGGGGCGCGGGCACCCTGCCTAAGAGAGGCAGGGTGCTCAGGCCCCTGTCCTGTGGCCTAACCCTGTGCAGGTCTCTGAAGTGGCCCCCCGCAGAGCGCTGCTTCTTTGAATGACGTCACCGTCCAGAAGAGTTGGACAAACTTTATCAGGAAGGGCCGGTGAAAACCCAGATTCCTTCTTCTTTGCCTCCTGGTCCTTTTCAGGTGGCAGCTCTGCCCCTGGGTGAATCTCTTGGCTCTACTCAGTGCCCCTGGCCTGCTGGGACAGGGTGCCGTGGCTTTGCAGGGTCACCGCGTGATGGTTTCTTGCTGTCCCTGGCTTCCAAGCACCAGGGCTGCAGTTCCCGATGCCAGGATTACAGAGGGAAGAGGCGGTGGGCTGTGTGGGGCGTGTCAGGTGCGGATGCTGCGAGTTCAGAGTCGTCCTGAGGATGTCAATGTGCCTGGCTCTCTTTAAGAACTGGAGATAGGATCTGAAGAGGCTGGAATTAGCGTAATCCCAGGCATCTGCCTTTCCGAACCAAGGCCAGCATTAAGGACCAAGATTATTTAATTGTGGGAAGAAATACTTCGCGGACCCGCCTCTGATTGCCATGCTGGCTCTTGGGATGGGTTTTTGGGGACATCTCCCTCACCCCCCAAATCCAAGAGGACTGACAGCTGAGCATAATGGCCTAATTTTGGCTTGCTGCACGCCAGAGGTCCCATAATAGCTAGCATTGGTTGAGTAATTACTGTATACAATTCTGAGTACTTTATCACCCACTCCTAGCAATCCAATGAGAAAGAGGATAACTATATGCTCATATTATGAACTGGAAAACCGAGGCTTAGGTTTCGTAACTCGTCCAAGGTCACAACAGCAAGCAGTCACACTGGGATTCAAACCCAGGCTTTGTGTCTGTACAGCCCAGGCCCTACATCTCAGGCCACGGTGTAAATTTCCCAATACAGGTGAAAAGCATAGAGCCATTCCTGGTACATAGTGGGCAGACACTGAGTGTTGCCTCACAGTTATTCTGCTGTGGCTGCTGTAGCACAAACTGGGCAGCTTTGAATAATTGATTTATTACCCCTCAAGTCTAGAGGCCACAAGTCCAAAATCAGGGTCTCTGTGCTGAAATCGAGGTCTTAGCAGGGCCATGCACCCTCCGGAGGCCCTAGGGGATGGTCCTTTGGTGCCTCTTCCAGCTTCTGGTGGCTGCCAGCACTCCCTGGCTTGTGGTCACCTCCTTCCTGTCTCTGCCTTTGTGACCATGGTGTCTTCTCTTTGTCCATTCTCCCTCTGCATCTCACATAGAAGTGCTCATGTGATAGCACTTGGGGCTTGCTTAGGTAACCCAGGGTCATCTCCCATCTCAAGATCCCTAACTTAATCATGTCTACAAAAAATCTTCCCCCTCTCCCTTTTTAACCATCTGCCTGGACATCCACAGATTCTAGGGATGAGGGCATTGACATTTGGGGGCGTCATTATTTAGTCTATCACACGGCTACTGTTGAGGGTATTACAGAGCAGGCTGGGTAAGGGGGTGGTAGGGTTTGCTGCTCAGTCTGCCGTAGATTCTGTGGCTCCGAGGGGTCAAGCCCTTGGCGCTCACACATGGTCTCTGGTCTGCTCAAGGCCTGCACAGTCTTGCCTGTCCCGTGCCGTAACCCAGACAGGCGGATGCGGGCAGCCTTCCCCTTGATAACTCTGGTCACTAACAAGAGAGGTCAGCAGACGTCTCAGGGCAGGCTTTTAACTTCATTTGGGAGAGAGAAGAAAAAGAGCAGGAGCATCAGGCTTAGCTTCTGTGGAGCCCAGAGGATCGAGGAGCATGATTAAAAATCCAAAGCAGGAAGGAGCGTGGATGGTCTCCGGACTTTAGGCAGCCTTGGATGTGATGTCTCAAACACTGCCATTTGAAGACAATAGCAATAACCAGGGCTGACGGCTCTGGTTCACCCTGTGTTGTCGCTGGGTCTGGTGTCGTGTGGCAGCGCCGAGGGAGCACGTGCCTGGGCTCTGGGTGGGTCAGCACAGGGGGCCGGGGAGCACGTGCCTGGGCTCTGGGTGGGTCAGCACAGGGGGCCGAGACCAGCAAGGCCAGCCTGTGCTGTGCTGTGCTGTGCATGATCTCGGCCAAGTCACTTACCCACCCCGGGGGCCTTGCTGCCACCCTCTGCAGGGAACGTGGTGAATGAGTGCGTGCTTGCTAAGTGCCTGACAGAGCTAAACACACAGGCGTGCAAGGCTGAGCTCAGGCAGGGTGACCTCAGGGTGTGTGCTCTGGAGCTCATTACGCCCCCGAGCTGGGCTGGGCTTTCTTTTCATCTCACCAGAGGAACTTGGGCCAACTTAGACATTGCTGTAGAGGAAACTGGCGCATGGAGAACTGAGAAGTGGCGATTTTATGATGTGTGTCTGTGACAGTGTGCAAACCCAAGGTAAGGAGGTGTTAAGGGCGTAACGGGAAGGAAGCTTAAAAGTTTCCCAGATGGCCTATCCCTTCCCTTTTCTCTTCAGTGCCTGTTAGTACTTCCCTGTTCCAGAAGGTCTCAAACGGAAGGCTCGTGAGGTTGGTCAGAAAGAAGGAAGCATGCGTGTGTGTTGGGCGAAGGCCTGAGGAGCCAGGGGAGAGGCTGTATGCCGCCCCTTGGAAGGCATCACTGGATCCCTGTTAAGGAGCTGTTACTTGCGATTTCACATGGGCGCCCTAACCTCCCTCTCGGACCTCTGTGGTTTCTGGGGGAGAGAGGACCTCTCTTGGGGCCGACTATGACTTGGAGCAAGGCACTGAGCAATTGAATTTGAAAGGCCTCGCTGATAGAACGTGACCTTTAACAATAGTTTTTATTACTCATGATCACCTTTGGCTGGAGAATTCTTTGTCCACAGCCAGTGGCTTTCGAATATTTCCTGGAGATTGAGAGATAATCATCTTGGCAAAGGACCTGTTAGGCATCAGATAGAAAAGTTCCGATCCAGCTTCTGACTGATGCTTGCCACTGGTGAGTCTTCCCTTGAGCCCCGTTTCCTCCGTGTCCTGATCACCTTTCATGCATGCAGTGTGTGTGCCGTTAGCTCGCAAGGCTCTGCAAAGACAAAATAAGATAATGGACTGGAACGGACTTGGCAAAGTTAAAAATAGAATCCGGACACAAGCTATTATTATGGTGTTATTGTGTTAGATTGGGAGAAAAGGAAGAGGATAGGATGGCGGTTGAGGTATCTGCTGAGAATTTATGTAACGATTGGATTATCCTTTGTTTCTACGGAGACTACTTAAACAATGTCTAGTTAAACAGCAAGGCAGTGGCAGACAGAAAAAGCTGGACTAAGCACCTTCACCTTGGCTTTGGGCAGTAAGTAAGCTGTATTAGCTATGCCTCACTGCCAAAGATAAAAGCAGCTCCGAGCTGGCCGCACAAGGAGCCGAGAAGCATCACGCAGCGCTGGTGAATTAAAGTATCTAGTTTCTCTGACCTTCTCCGGCCTGCCTGTTGGTTGACATCGGATCCTCTAAGAGTACCTGGTCCATCCAGCATCCCTGAAATGTCGCTGACTCTATTCTGGGGCATTTAGCTGCTTTCCCAGGGGTATTGAATAGAAGGAGATGGCGACTTCAGGTCTGCTTGGAGTTCAGGGGCTCCGTCAAGGTGGACAGGGCAAGGATGTCTCCAGGCTGCCCGGTGTGACCATATGCCCACCCAGCATCCCCTTACTACTGTGTGTTATCACACACACATGCTCTTGCCTGCACTGGAGATCTCTGTTGAGCAACCCAGCAGCCTCGTGAGGTAAATCACACAGATACACACCCCATTTTAAAGATGAGGAGCCTCACGTCTTACAGGATCTCAGGGAGCTGCCTGTGGTCACAGTGGGGGCCGTGTTGACCTAATAGCCTCAGGAAAGGCCACTGAATGTTCTAGGCTACATGGAGATCCTGGAGTAAAAGGAAAAACCTTGGCATAATTTCTTTTTAATTTGATCAGGGTATAACTTAGGTATAATAAACCAAACCAAAAGGCTGATGCATTTGGCCAAATGAGTGCACCCACATCAACACCCCCACAAGACACAGCACACCCATTGCCCCTGAAAGTCTCCTGTGTCCTGGGGCAGCCAGTCCTCTGACTACCCTCAGCCTTTAGAATTGTTCGCATCTTCTAGGCTTCATGCAAGTGGAATCACACTGTGCATACTCTTATCCCTGGAATCTTCCCTTCAGTATAATATTTTCAAGACTCATCTTTCACGCACCAGCA